CACACACACACACACACACACACACACACACACACACACACCCCACAAATGAAACATGTAGGTTTGCTCCTCAACACAGAAATTTTCAGTACAATGAGCAAACTCCTTGCTGGAGCTATGTGAGCTGGCTCCTACCGCTCTTTTTTCACTTCGCTCTTCCTCTTAGCTCACTATGTTCTTGCCTCTTGCCTTCCTGTTGGTTGTTGAGCAATGGAACTCATTTCTTCTGAGAACTTCAGTCTGTACACATTCTGGCACCTTTACTTGTAGTATCCTTTTCTAAGTCTTGCTGGCTTGCTGGTTCTCATTGTTTAGACTTTGGGGACATAATCATCTCAGAGCTACCACCTCTAGCTAAACTGGACTCTTGTCACCTCTCTGCCCTCCCATTGTGCTCTGTTTTTTAGCCAAGTTTATGCTATTTAACTTGTGCATCTTAGATAATTCTCCAGGAAAACTGACTACATGAAAGCAGGTACTTTGTCCTGCTAACCATGCCTTTTGAGATGTAGTGTCTGCACATAGATCAACGAATAGTTTTTGTATGGCAGAGGCTGGTTTCGATTAGACGGAAGTGAGTTTAATCTTCAGAGACTTAACTGCTCTTGTATTTTGAGGCAGGGTTTCTTTGTGTAGCCTTGGTTGTCTTGAAACTAGCTTTGTAGGCTGGCCTCAAACTCACAGAGATTCACCTGCCTCTGCCTCTATGGTGGTTGGGGCCTGTTGCTCAACAGGTAGGAAGTGGTCTTAGTTAGGGTGACTATCACTGTGGTGAAACACCATGACCAAAAGCAATGCGGAGAGGACAGGGTTTTATTTGGCTTGTGCTTCACATCACAGCCCATCAAGTAAGGAAATCAGGACAAGAACTCAAATGGGATAAGAACCTGGAGACAGGAGCTGATGCAGAGACCATGCACAGGGGCTGTTTATTGGCTTGACCCCCAAGGTTTGCTCAGTCTGCTTTCATATAGAACCAAGAACCTCCAGCCCAGGGGTGGTACCACCCACAATGAACTGGGCCCTTCCACATTAGTCACTAATTGTGAAAATGCCCCACAGGCTCACTTACAGTCAGATCTCATGAAAGTATTTTCTCAATTGACATTCCCTCCTCTTAGATAACTGTGGGTTGTGCCAAGTTGACATAAAAACTAGCCAGCACAGAAGTGGGGACGGGAGGATAGGGGCTTGAGGACATCATTAGCCACACAGTGAGTTCTAGACTAGCCTAGGCCAAGCAATGAGATCCCTTTTCAAAACAAACAAATATACAAACAAACCTGAAGACCAAAACAAAGATAATCAAATGAGACTGTGTTCATCTTTTCCAGATGATCCCATGCTCCTTATGCATCCTGAAAGTCCAGGCCCTCCTAGATGATGCTACTGTGTCCTTTTTATTTGCAGACACAAGACCTGAATGATTGGAGAAGAGAAACGTACCACAACCTTAGTTCCCCAGACCATCATGGACCTCTTCCAAATGAAGACAGGGGTACAGAGAACCCTGCAGATACTTGATAGTACAACAGAAACAAAACCAAGTAAGATACTGCCTGTCCTCTCTGTACAGTGGGGTGGACTGCTATGTCCAAAAGTGAGACTTATGGCAGTCCTTTCCAAATGGTGAGGGATAAACACATTTGTAGTTGGGATGAAATGATCCTACACTCTTCAAGGAACAGGGAAGACCTGGCTGTGACGAAATGCCTGGGAACAATAATGTTAGAAGAAGAAAAGTTTATTTGGCTTTATGTGTTTGGGGGATTTAGGGTATGGTTGCTTAACATGGTTGTTTGGACTGCTTTGAGGTAGTACATTATGGGGGAAGAAAGCTGCTCACCTTGTGGCAACCAGGAAACAGAGACAGCGAAGGGCTCCAATACACCTCTCAAGGGCTCACGATCAGAGTTGTACTTTCTTCCTTCTAGGTCCTACCTCTTAAGCTTTTTACCACCTCCCAATATGCTACTACTTGTTGATCAAGGCTTCCACTGATGAGACTACAGGAGGGGTGCTATTCTAGATCCAAACTGTGACAAGTAGTTTATTTCCTTAATGTAGGCTTATTTACAATATGGACCAAAAAGTATCCTTTTCTTTGCATTACATCAATTTTAAAGAGGATGATGAAAATATAAAACCTAGTAAAAAGTATTAGAATATAGAGGTAATTTTTTTATTAGGGCGAATGTTTCCACGTCTATAGACTTCTTAAGATACCTCAAGCATCTTTGTTAAATAGGATAAAAATGAAATAAGTGTTAGTTAAATTAATTATAAATAACATTTCAGCATATACACTAGGGTCATCAAGACTTTCGGTATGCTGATCTAGTATTTTCTAAGTGAGTGACTGACAATACAGACAACAGATGATTATACAATTTTTCATGTGAAAGAAATTTAGTACTTACATGAATCCCATTTTGTATTATAAAATAAGCTGCTGAAGCAAAACATCTCGGACAATAAGACAAAATTTAAAAGTTTCACATATTTATTAATAATTTAAAAATTTGGTCACAAGCTTGGAAATGTGATCTCATTTGAACCAGGGCTGTTACAGAAGAGCTATTCTGAAAGAAATGAAGAACAAAGATCTTGATATAGTTAGTGACCAAGTGTTTTTGGTAGGAAGCAGCTGATGGAGTAAATATTAGTAAAATTAACAATAAGGCATTTCAGCTTATAAACCAAAGGGTCTACAAGGATTTTCCTGGGACCAAATAACATTATTTTTAAATTAATTATTTTTAGTGTATGATAGGTAATGAAGTGGCATGGGGAAATGAATTCTATTTCCCATACAGAGATGGGTTTTGTAAAAGGGACCTACATGGCCTTAAAAAATATGAGGGACATAGTAACAACTTACCTCTTCATTGAAATAGAAAGTAGAAATAATTCTCATGGAAGGTTTGAAGCAGCGTCTGCTGACGCGTCTCACAGCAGTTAAGGAAACCGTTGGTAGAAAACTATCTCAATGGGGAAAACGACTCAGGGATTAGGAACATATTCTGCTGAACATCTAAGTAGTTGACACTTTCCCGAACTGGAAAGACATTGCACACGACATCAAAAGCTGACTTACGAGAACTTCTTGTTCTAAAAAAACAGTTCCTGCACAATAAACCAGCTCACCAGCAGACACGACCCTGGGATCCTCGTGAGCCCGATGTCGCCCCGCTGCGCGGCTGTCTGCGTTCTGGCTCCACCACAGAACGTGCACTGCGGGAGGAAATCAGAAAGGCATTCACACACAAATCCAGAGAAATTAAGTAACAAAGTCCAGTTACTAGAGGTTAAAACAGCGACACTAAATATTTCAGTGATAAGATTTCAGAGCAGCCAGAGACTTGGGAAAGGAAATTATAGATTAACTAATCAGACTGGTTTTACAGATGAAGAAATGAAGCAGGTTTGAAAAGGAAGGAAAGTAAGACAGCTAAAGGAACTCAAGACCCAGACTGTATGACTTGGTAGTATACTTTATTTTAGCATCTCACGTTGGCAGCTGAACTTGGTAACGGATGTGGAAGGGTCAGCCAGGTGGCACTGGTTTTGCAGGCACACAGGGGTCATGGAGAGCAACTAGAAACTGGCCCTGTGTATCAGGGCTGGAGTACCCCCCAGAAGAGAGTCCAGGGAAGACCACTGGTGAGGATGCAGCCTCAGCATACTGGGGATGCCAGGATAGTGGGGTGACTGCCGAGGACAGCGGCAGCTGTGGAGGAGGGATGTGCACAGTGGCAGGCTGAGTCCAGGAGGTAAGCTGTGTGTTCCGAGGTTGGCAGCACTAGCTAAGCTAAGCAGCCAAGGCCCTCTGAAGCCCAGACAATCGATCTGTGAGTAGGTCCCAGATGTCAGGCAGTGAACTTTTGATACTACTGAATTTGGGGTTCGCTTTGAATTTGATTCTGTGCTCTGATTCTTCCATTTTAGAATAAGATTTTACAAGAGCCAATAAGATTTTAGAATAAGATTTTAAAAAGACTTTGGCTCTTTTAAAGAGATGAAACTTATAAAGGTGACATGACTTTCAAAGTTATACTATGCTTTATGCTGTGCTAATAATATTAACAGGACATCTGGGGACAAACAAGGAAGGAAAGTTTTCGGTTTAGTCATGATGTGTTTATATGTCAAGTTGACAGTGGTTCAATTGTGTTGGTTTTTTGTTCCCTTGATACAAAGCTTCTCAGATGCATCTGAGGAGAGAGAGCCTCAGCTGAGAAATTGTGCTCCATTGGATAGATGGGGACAAGCCTGTGCAGCCCTTTTCTTAATTAATGACTGATGTTGAAAAGGCCAGCCTACTGGGAATGGTGTCACTCCTGGCCTGGGTCATATAAAAAAGCAGACTCAGCCAGTCTGGGGGAGCAAGTCAGTACACAGCATTCTTCCCAGGCTTCTGCTTCAGCTCCTGCCTCCAGGTTCCCGCCTTGAGTTCCTGCCTTGACTTTTCTGCATGGTGGACTATAAGCTGATACAAACCCTTACTTCACCAAGTTGCTTTCGTTCACAGTAATAGAAGCCTAATTAGGACAGGGGATATAGTTCGGCGGTAGAACACTTGTCTAGCATACATAAGGTCCTAGGTTCAAACCCTAGTACTGATAATAATATATTTAAGGGAATAAAAAGATTATACAAGAAATACACTATTTCCTGAAGTTATTATGGTTGTTAAAATTTGTCTTATGTATCAGAAAACAGAAGTTTAGCATTTCAAAATAGTTTTGGTAGGTGGTAAGTTCTAAATAAATAAATAAATTGACAACTTATCAATTCTTTAAAATGATAAAAGTACAAGAACTTGTCAATAACATATGAACTTTTACTAAAGAATGCTAGCAGATAAATAGGTCATCAATATACATGAAAATTTGAAAAGAAATAGACATCTGTACCTCTGTTGAGTGTTCCATATTCTGAATGAAACACGCCAATTAGTTTAGAATAGCCTTGATTGACATGGGCATTTACTGCTCTTTGAAATGCCTCACCCCATAGAGCTGGGCCACCAGGTTTCATAAGAAAAGAAGAGAGTTCATAGACTCCTAGAATATGGAAAAAATAATTTAAACAATGAGTCATAGAATGTCTATTCATATTCATATTCACTTGGTTTCATGAGAAGCTTGATCTACAAGTACATATTTGAAGGACTGCACATATTCATTTATACAGATGCAGTAATGGTATCTGCATTATTTTCCCTTAATTGTATGTTCCACAGGTGACAAAAAGTAGGGGCCAGTGAGGGCTGGAGAGATGGTTCTGTAGTGAAGATATGTACTGTTCTCATAGAGGACCAGGGCTCAGTTCCCAGCACTCATATCAGGAAGCTCACAACTGCCTTTAGCTAATGACTAGCTCCAGTGTATCTTACACTTCGGTTTCCACAGCAGGTATCTGCACTTGCTGTACACACACACACACACACACACACACACACACACACACACACAACACACACAGAGCGAGAGCGAGGGAGAGAGAGCGAGAGCGAGAGCGAGAGCGAGAGCGAGAGAGAGAGAGAGAGAGAGAGAGAGAGAGAGAGAGAGAGNCTAGGCAGGGCGGTGGTGGTGGTGCATGCCTTTAATCCCGGCATTCAGGAGACAGAGGCAGGCCGATCTCCGAGTTCGAAGAGCGAGTTCCAGGACAGCTAGAGCTGTTACTCAGAGAAACCCTGTCTCTAAAATCCAGAACAAGAATTAGAAAATATGTCTGTATTACTGTCTGAAATATTTAAAAACTTGTTACTAAAGTAGATATTGAGAAATTAGTGGAGAAGATATTTTGGTGGCCTGAGGGTATACTTTTAGGAAAGAACTTAAATAATTTTTCATGGATTTGGAGAGGTGGCTCAGTGACAGAACACTTGCCATCAATGTATAAAATCCTTGGTTAACAGCAAAATAAAATATAATTTTTCTGCAGTGCCTATGTTTTTTTGACTCTTCCACTTCCACCATTTTTTCTTTGTGTTCTTCGACACTGTATGTTTTCATAGCCCATAGGAAGAGAAAGCTGACAGTGCAACAGAATGACGTTCATATTTCCATATTCCAGCAAAACAAACCACCGTAGAGATATCATTTTATAGTTCTTTAATATTTTGGCTACATATTTGAAATGCATTTTATCTCTACACAGAAGTGTAGATCAGCAGAGGCAAAGAACTAGGTTGTGAGTAGTCTAATGAGAGAGGACAACTATTTTATTGAGATCGTGCTGAGAGCTGATAAGAGGCCCACGTGGGTACCATTCAACTCGGGCTTTTCAGGTCTCTTTGTCATCTAAACCATACTACAAAGTTGAGAACAACAACAACAAAAAATTCTAATTAGTTTATGCTTTTCTAATATGACTTCTGGTTACAATTAGACTGAGGTCATAGTTTCTTTAAATACACAAGAAGTAAAATCAGCAAGAAGACAGAAAATTATTTTCATACTGAAAGAAAGAGGAGAACAAAAATCATTAATCGCTTAATCATTTGGCCCAAATGGTCCTTTTTGTAAAAAAAAATAGATTGTGAATTAAAATTGGGTGTCACTTATAAGTATATTTAATATAGTAAACATAGCTATATTTATGTAGATATATAAAATATATAGTTATATTTAAATATGAATATTGTTTTAAAACAACGATAGAATGTGATATATGAACTCTTACCACCCCACCCATGGTCTCTGGCTCTCGATATGCAGTTTTCAACTACTACTGCCCATGTGACATTTTCTGTAACATAGCTGAGGTCTTCAAACCCAGAAAATTTCAAGTGGGAAGGCTTCTTCATTAGTCCTTGCTCTTTAAGGATAAGCGAAGAGCTGCACTTTGGTTTGACTCAACGATCACTTATGCCCTCTATAAAAGGGAGTCTCCCTGCTTCCAAAGTACATCAGAATGGACTATTTCCATTGCAGCCACGGAAATGCAGAGGCTAAGACAGACGCACCTTCCTCGGGAGGCGTTCCTATTTTGCACCATGGTACCAGATAGGTAATTTCGCTCTCCTGTTTATCAATGGAAGCCAAATTTGGAATGAGGAATCGTTCTTGCCACTCTGTATCATTGGCCAAGGCTTTGCTAACTGCCGCTCGGTGAGCAAAATTATCTGTTAGGAAAGAATGGAGAAACGTCTTTCAAAGCTGCTTTCAAACCATCTGTGCTTCTTTGACTTACATCTGGAGCACACGAGAACATCGTGCTGTGGCTTTGGGAACAGCGATGTGAAGAAGTGTCACATCTAGTGGCTCCTGGTGGAAACCACTATTATGATCTCATCGAATGGGCCTCACAGGTTCTCCCTCCTCAAAGGTAGCTGAGTACAGGAGGTAAGTTACCGTATGTTCCTCTGCTTTCTTTCTCAGTCTGTGACAGGGGAAAATGATGTAGCATCAACCTCCAGGTTTGTGCTGAGGATTAGCTGAATAAGGAGGGCTTACACTAGTGTTCGACACTTACATGTGGACTGTTCTTACTATCCAATGGAGGTATTCAACTGACAGTTTCAGCTGAGATAAATTTGATTTCAGTATTGATGGTAATCAGTCAAGCTATATCTCGAATACATTTTAACATTGAGCAAAATTTGAATGTACTTGGCATCATTTCCTTTGCATAAGTAACTTCCAAAGAAAGCAGGCTGGTTCTCATACTATTGATTCTCCCCAGCACTGCCGACTCTGCCTTCCCAGACTGACAAAGATAGACATGTTTAACAATGTGTGGGCCTACTATATATTTATTGTAAAGACCTCATGAGACTAAGGTAAATTGTTTACATAGTTTATGCTAGGGATAGGAATAACACCTGCCTAAAGTGCGGTCAATTAGGACTTCATTACTTTCCCCAATGGGCCATGATTTAACATGCACCACGTGTGAAGCAAACGTTGCACTAAGGGTGTTTGCTGTCCTTCAAAACCGAAGAAACAAAAAGTATACCTGAGTCACCCACAGAATCTTCAGTAGGGAATTAACTGAACACTGATGACCAAGGACTAACTGCAATTAATTTGTAAGAGTTTGCTGAACATGGTCAAAGTCTGGTGTAGGCTAATTTAAGATTAGACTTCGAAAAGGCTACCAAGCATTCTGAATAATTTTGTAATGGTCTCCTTTTTCAAGGCAGTGCAGTTTCAGTATGAGAACTTGTACGTAGTAATGTGTTTCCCTTAACTTCTTAAAGTAACATGGCAGCGAATTCATTGAAACTCTGGGATGTCGAAGAGAACTGGAAATGGTTTATAAATGCAATGGAAACAATAAGCTCAGGGTTGAGGAAGGTCAAAAGTTGACTGCCATTTCCTCTCAAACTCCATTTACTCCCAGTCCTGAATGTGTGAACTGCCCCTACTAAGACACTGATGTACAGGTCTAGCACCAGATACCTCTTTCATTTTGTGACCTTATCTTGGACTTGTGTAAGCAGTTTTCAATTTTGCATCAGAACATTTTTTCCAATTAGACACTATAATTTTTTGAGAACTGTAGTCTAAAATTTAATGAATTGATAGATAAGAGCTCTTAATTTCTCAATTGTGTTAGACTTGGAGTTATTAAATGTGTACTAAGAAGAGTGGTCACTGAATTTACTTTTTGGTTCTGCATTGTTTTAAAAAGTTCTCCTTAATCTGTGTCTAGATGAATGTATACCCATCTAAGACTCCTATAGCATCTACCCAAACAAAAATCTATATGGAGCATTTGAACGCGGCGACTCATACCATACTTCCAAATATGGAATACTCGGTCTATTCTGCCTCCAAATTCTACCCTCCAATAGCCAACCAATTCAGAGTGAGCTGTCCGAAGATGAACATTTTGCTTAAAATTGTGCATGAACTCTTTCATCTTCGAGGGTTTAAAGTAGTAAGTACAAAACTCATAGAATGTTCCTTCGGTTTGTCTTGGGCCAGTAGCAAAAGATGAGCACACCTGAAAAAAAGATAAAACAAGTCTCAGTACTTAGGGGAGGGCAGAGATTGTGTCACCTCCCACCCAAACCTGGGTCTGGTGACAGAGGACACAGTAGCAGGTTCACAACCTTTGCTGTATTTCTCTCGCCAACGCTCCACAGATGCAGGCTAGTAGGTTTTAAAGATCACTATGGTTAAACGTGTATTCTCCTCGAGCCACCTCCCCAAACTATGGCATTGCTGTCTTAGAGCAGCTTCTGTGCCGGAGAGCCACAGTTAGGATCCACGTGCGTTCTCTTTTCCCTTACGTTCTCTTCCTCTACAGTGTGGACGACGACAGTGCTGTATCGGAGAGAACTCTGGAGACTGGATGTCTTTGGGTATACACAATGAACATGTTTACTAAAAGAAAACTTTTTTTTTTTTTTTTAAAGAAAAGGAGAATTGCCATTCAGGTCGAAGAATCCTTCCTCATCCAGCAGAAACAGAACTGGAATGCAGTCCATGCATTAGCGTGCTATCACTATCCGACTGCATGACAAACTTTGATAATAGACCTGTGGTCCTAAACCTCCCTAATATTACAGTTTTTCATGTTGTGAACCTAACCATAAAATTATTTCATTGCTGCTTCATAACTGTAATTCTGCTACTGTTATGAATTGCAATATAAATAACTGATATGCAGGATATCTGATAGGCAACCCCAAAGGAGTTGACCCACAGGTTGAAAACCACTGTAATAGTGATTCACAATGGCCTGAATCACTATTCATTTCTAACAAGAAACACAGAGCAAAGATGGCTTTAATGCATTTAGTTGTACGCATGTGGTAGGAAAGCCTCTTGGGTATTTTTAGAAATAATCATATTTCTAAGTTTCTAGTTGTTGTTGTGAAAGCACTTTTCCCTGGGAAAGACTCCGTCAGAAGTCAGCTTGTGTATGTCTGTACATATGCGCCTGTATATGAATGCACACACTGTATGACCCTGAACTGTAAAAAGCCTACGTATTTTCAAGTTGGGGTGCTATGCACCCATTTTATGAAGCCAATAATACAGGAAAATCTGCTAAAGCAGATCAGATGAATATAAATTTATGGAAAAAATGACTGCATACATGGAAAGTTTAGGATGGATAGAAAAAGTAATCTTTTTTCTCTTGATAAATTTTTGATTACAAAACACTTTATCGTATATACAGTTTAATAAAATCTTCTCCCTTTAGTTCATTTTACTGATACCTACTCTGAACTGTATTCTTACTGCACAAATCAGTAAATTTTCTACAAAAATCTGCAGCTGTCTCTGCATTTGATGGGCTTTGTGTGTGTGTGTGTGTGTGTGTTTAACCAAAATCTACAAATGGGGATTATTAGATCTGCTTACTGTCTGTAGTTTAAAAATAAATAAAACATCAGAAAGCGAGCCAAAGACATTCACAACAAAATTTTACAGGTTGATTCAAAGAGGGCGTGTGCATTAGGAGAATGAAATATTTGTGGAAGGCACAAAGTGTTGTTATTATTTCCAGGACATAATACACAGGAGGGAGACTACAGAGAGCAGTGACTGGATAGAAATGATTTTCAAGATTTCTGCAGCTGAGCTTTATCACGTCCAACTTAGACTTGTTCTCGCCAGCACTGACTCATTAAAGACAATGTTGGCTAAAAAATAAAATAAAAATAAAAATAGAAACTAAGTTCAGCGAAGACCTGTAAGGAAATAATTGGTGGCTTTGGTGAGCAGTCACTAGTCTCTTCTTCGAGGTTTACCTGGCTCTAGACTAACTTAACTCCTTCTCGTTGGGTTAAGTCAAAAGTCCCCGCCAGAAAGAACTGGATTCATCCCCAGGATAAGCCGGTGCTCAACAGCTAGGGCTGGATGGTGGCTCTCTTAGGCGCACATCTCACCCCATCTTTGTCGAGTTTCCGGATGCTCCAGTCCCGTCTTAATGGCTGGACGCTGCAGACCCTGGAGCAGCAGCCCTGGCATCCCCACAGCTCCGCCCTCCTCCCTGCAGGCCCCGTCCCCTACCTGTGGCGCCAGTGCCCTCGGGGCCAGCACCTTCCTCAGGGAGCTTCGGAGAGCGAGCATGGCGCGTCCTGGAGTTCACTGGAAAGACCGCTGTCGGGTGCTGGGACTCGGTTAGGTCCGCGCTGGGCTGGGCGGTGCTCGAGGGCGCGGCTCTGCCCCTCTCCGTTGGCCGCCGAGGGCCAGCCTTTTCGGTCTGTGCTGTCAGCTTCTACCCTTTTGCTAGGCTTTTGTTCTGCAAAATTCGGGTCCTGACGTCAGAGGTGATGTTGCAATTAGCAGAACCCTGAGCTCCTAGCAATTCCACACCCTGGGCCACCGCTGTAATCCCCCTCGGGTACTAACTTCAAAATGTAGGTCGCAGTGTGGATGTACATGGGTGCTCTAAAATCTCGGGGTGGGGTGACCTAGGGCAAGGACCAGGAACCAACCTTCTTCACCTTTACCTCAGAATACTCAGCATCCCTGTTGACCCCCACAACGGGGCCTGGGAGGCACTGAATAAAAGTTGATTGTCCTGGTGCCCAGAACAGTGGGGCTACAGGCCTGAAATGAGATCTTCACAGTCATATGCAGAGGGACCAAAAGGAAATTGCTCTGGGTAACTTAAAACAGCGGACATCTTTGGTACTCCCTGTTTGGCTGTTGGTGCCCAGGTTAAAGTCATCTAACACAACTGTTCTCTCCCTCTCTCCTCATGGTTATGTCTTTGTTAGGTATACTCCGCTGTTTCACAGTTTTCCGTTTACAGATAATGTCCATTTACTAGAAGGATGAGAATTTAGATCACCTCAGAGCACGTGCCTTCTGGCATCTACAGCATTTAAAATAATTACCTCATTAGTCTACATTATAATTTATGACTCTGACGCTTCTTGCTGATAATTGCTGCATACATTTAAGTGACATTTCTTATTTCATGAGAGACAGGGAAGAATTAGAGGCTTATCAAGTATGGTTTTATTGGGGAGTGTTGTGGAAGAGGTTTTGCTTAGATGAGGGAGGTTTTTCAAAATTAGACATTCTGGAAGAATTTAGCCTTTTTTTTCTGGAGACGTTATTTCCTAAGCCAGCAAATCTGGACGAATTATCTTTTGCGTAAAGACAGCATCTACTTGGTTAAAATCTGGCACTGTTTTTTCAGCCCCGAGGTAACAGTCCATTAATGCATGTTGCCTTTCTTTTATGCTGCAGGCACTTTCCTAGAAACTATAGAAGTGGGAAAAAGGTAGTTCTTTCCACAGTGGCCTTTACAGTTTGTGCAATCCATGACAGAAGAGAAAATACAGTCAGCGCCATGTAACTGAGGCCAGCATCGGTGGATTTAGCCAGAGAAAGGAGAACGTTGGGGATAAATGAACTGTTCTGGATATGTACAGACCTTTTGTCTTGCATTACCAACACAATAGAGTGTAACAAGTATTTACACAGCCTGAGATGCCTAGAGATGATTTAAAGATACAGGAAGCTGAGTGTATGCTATATGCAAATACTATAGAAGCGACTTGAGCATATATGGGTTTTGATATCTTTTTCACTGGGCCCTGGATCCAAGGTGTGCTGTTCATGAGAGAATTAGTAAACAGCATGAACACAATATAGTGGAACACAAAGAATTAAAAGTGCTGGAGGAAGGTAGCATAGATTTTGTGTGTGTGTGTGTGTGTGTGTGTGTGTGTGTGTGTGTGTGTGCCCATTCATCCATTTGGCTTTGGAAACAAAAGTCAGTATTAGAAAACTTAGCTTGCTGTGACCACAGGACAGTCGCCAACCCTGGGGAATGTCAGTACAGTAATGAAAATGTTCTGAAGGAGGAGGGGAAGCAGCTTGTTCCCTTTATTTCTTCCCTGTGTCTTCTTGATGGAATGTGGCTGTAGTGATTTGAGCACATTGTTGGGTTAGAAGGCGTAGACTGAATATGGTGGAATGAAAGGGATGTGGCCCAGGATTCTGAGCCTGGGCAAACCACATTAGAAGTCCTGCCTTAGCCTCTCCCAGGGTCTTCTTATACATGAGAAATTGTCTGCTAATTTCAGCCATCAGAGAAATACAAATCAAAACAACTCTGAGATTCCATCTGACACCTGTAAGAATGGCCCAGATCAAAAACATTGATGACAACTTGTGCTAGAGAGGATGTGGGGTAAAGAGAACACTCCTGCATTCTGGTGGGAGTGCAAACTGGTACAGCTTTGGAAATCAGTATGATGATTTCTCTGGAAATTAAGAAGCAACCTATCTCAAGATCCAGAAATACTACTTTTGTGTATATACCCAAAGGATGCTCAATTATACCACAAGTACATGCGCTCAGTTATGTTCATAGCAGCATTATTTGTCATAGCCAGAACATGGAAACCTCAAATGGATAAGAAAAATGTTGTACATTTACACAGTGGAGTACTACACAGATGAAAAAAATAATGACATCTCAAAATTTGCAGAGAAATGGATGGAGCTGGAAAATATCATATTGAGTGAGGTTACCCAGACCCAGAAAGACAAATATAATACGTACTCATAAATGGCTCTTGGACATAAAGCAAAGAAAAACCAGCCTACAGTTCACAACCCCAGAGAACTTAGAGAGTAAGGAGGACCATAAGAGAGACATACATGAGTCTAATCTACATGGAAAGTACAAAAAGACAAGATCTCCTGAGTAAATTGGGAGCATGGAGATCATGGAAGAGGGTAGAAAAGCAGGAGGGAGGAAGGGAGGGGAGAAAATATATAGCTCAATAAAAACAATAAAAAATTCTAAGGAAATAATTACAAATGCTCATTCAATATCTCAGGCTTGCTATTAACAAACTCTTACACTTAAATTAACCCACATTTCTTATTTATGCTTTGCCATGTGTCTTGATACCTTTTCACAGTATGGCATGCCATCTTGATCTCTCTGTGTTTGCCAGTGACTCTCTGACTCTGCCCTTCTTCATCTCAGTGTCCTCAGTTTGGTTGTCCCCCCACCCCCAACTTTATCCTGCCTTGCTATAGACCAATCACCTTCTTTATTAACCAATGAAAAAATACATATTCACCATGTACAGAAGGATTAGTCCACAGCATTTCTCCCTTTTTGTCTAATTAAAAAAGAAAGATTTAATCTTAACCTAGTAAAACTATGTATAACAAAACAGCTATTAAGTAATAATTACAATTACAGTATCTGGTTTATATGTATTTGGGAAAATTAAAGAAAATACTCCATCATCTATCTTATCTTTGTGAGTCCAAAGTTTTGTAGCTAATTTACCTTCTATTATAACTCAGGATAACTGTAAGTAGTTTCAGCTCCATCAAAGACCCCAGATGGGTGATATGTTTCCTAATAACAAGGACATCTTACTGCCTGGACAGTAACCCAAAGTTCTTCTGTAACACTGGGGCATCCATCTTTGGCCTACAGGCCTAGCATATTCTACAGACTTTCCTGTCATATTCTGTAGGTCTTTGAAGTGTTTAAAGACTATCTATCTATGTAAATATATCTGTGTATGACTTTGAAACTACACCTAACACGACTCTAAGTTTGACTATTATAGATAGATGACTATTAACTGTAGTTTTAATTATACATTATTTTTAAATGAGTTATATAAACACAATACCTTAAACAAGAGTAGAAATACACATACAGTAAAACAAAATTAACTTTAAATTTGTATCAATAGACCAAAATCCATAGCAATGTAAAATGTTTAAGATTCATAGTTGTGTTTTGGATTAAGGAAGATTCAATAATCTACCCTTTTATCCTATCATTTCTATATCCCTCCTTATGAGATCCCTGAATCTAATTTTCTTTGTTTAACTTTTTTTTCTGAGCATTATCAACTGCTATGTAATTTACATCATGGCATACTGGCAACCGGCGCTCCTCCTCCTTAGTTCCCTGAGAGCCTAGTCTCATGGCAGCGGTACATTTACCGGCAGCTCTGAGAGTCAAGTTTATAGTGCCAGCTCTGGGAAGTTTCTGGGTCTTCACCATCACTGAGCAGCATGTCGCCCACCGCTTATAAACACCATTAAAGTGTCTGGCAGCTTCTTAAAAGAGCTGCCCATTTTTGCCACTAGCACGGAGCCAGGAACCTGTTACTTAAAGGAGCTGTGCCTCCCTCCCCTTGCTGCCAGCAAACAGAGCCCACTGGAGAAGAGGTGGTTACCAAGAAACTGAGTTAACTCCATTTTTGTGTTTTTAGAATCCTTTTCTAAAATTGCAAATGCTTGGCTGATATCTCAGATTTTTTATTAGCTAGTTCTGACACTCAAATTCACCAATGAGAATAACACATATTTAGAGTGTACAGGATTATTTCACAGTTGGCTTAATCTTAGAAGATTCTTTTCTTGCATTGATATGGTTTTCTTCATTCCTGATTTGAATCCCCAGATTCCAGAGGTATAAAATTCCTTTCACTAAGATTAGCCCTTTTATCAGTTTCTCATTTTCTAGAGCTATGCCCGCTAGGCCCCTAGTTCTTTCTCTCTGGTGTGGATTAAGCATTCCCCGAGATGGCAAATGGTGATTTTGGGGTCTCTCTTCACATCCACAGGAATCTCGTTCACTTTCATTGAAGACATTCTTCAAGATCTAGTTTTTATGGTTTTGTTTTCACTAAATTTCTATTTTAAGGAAAGGAAATATGGAATTTAAAGTTTTGAGACATACTTCTTTTAAAAATGTGTTTTACAAAAGTCTCTTAATTTACTTTGGGTAGACACAAGATTCTGCATCAGGAACTTTTTTTTGAACAAACTACTTTATTAATAGGTAAGGAGAAACAAGCACATGACATTGTTTTTTAATTTTTTTTTGTGTAGAGCTTGTTTTTCTTTCTAGAGATTTATGTTTTACTCTTGTCCTTTATCTGCAATTTCACAATGATATTCCTAGCTGGGCGGTAGTGGTGCATGCCTTTAATCCCAACACTCAGGAGGCAGAGGCAGGTGGATCTCTGTGAGTTCAAGTCAAGCTTGTTCTACAGAACGAGTTTGAGGACTAGCTCCCAGCAACTGAGAACCCTGTTTTGAAAAACCCAAACAAACAAAACAAAAACCTCAATCCTTGGGGGATAGGTCTTTGTCCATTCTTCCTTATCTCTTAATACAGTATTAACTAATCAGATGATTGAATATGGTAGGCAGATGCTCTATT